TAAACTCTCTCAATTTAAAAATTATTAGTATAAACCCATGGAAAGTAGAGCAAATTCTAGCATGGCACTTCCTAGGTGAGCAGGTCTTGGACAAATTAGTTAACTTCTTTGGGACTTAGCTGTCCCTTTTATTTAAAAAAAGAAAAAAAAAGAGCCATTGTCATGGAGTCAATTCTGACTCATAGCAATCCAGAGTAGAACTGCTCATAGGATTTCTAAGGCAGTAATCTTTACAGAAGCAGACTGTCCCATCTTCCTCCCACAGAACAGTTGGTGAGTTCAAACTGCCAACCTTTCAGTTAGCAACCAAGTGCTTAAATCCTGCACTATCAGGGCTCCTTCAATGATACTATAAGTACATGAAATGTACAGAGAATTTTTCTTATAGATAATCACTCACTCTCAGGTAAAAATTTATTTTGTAAGCTGAGTTATGTAGTACCATCTAAAGCGCCTAAAGTTGACGTTGTTGTTGTTGTTGTTGTTATATGCCATCGAGTTGATTCCACCTCAAAGTGACCCTGTGTACAATAGAACGAAACAGTGCCCAGTCCATGCCATCTTCATATTCCTTGTTACGCTTGAACCCATCGTTGTAGCCACTGTGTCAATCCATCTCATTAAGGGCCTTCCCCCTTTTTGCTGACCTTCTACTTTACCGAGCATGATACCCTTCTCTAGGGACCCATCCCTTTTGATTAGATGACCAAAGTAGTTGAGAAAAAGTCTGGCCATTCTCACTTCTAAGGAACACTCCTACTGTATTTCTTCCAGGGCATATTTGTTCGTTCTTCTGAAAGTCCATGGTATTTTCAGTATTCTTTGCCAATATCACAATTCAAACAAATCGACTCTTCTTTAGTCTTCCTTATACACTGTCCAGCTTTCACACGCATTTGAGGTGACTGAAAGTACAATGGTGGGTTAGGTGCACCTTCATCTTCAAAGAGACATCTTTGCTTTTTAACACTTTTAAAAGGTCTTTGGCAGATTTATCCAGGGCAATACAATGTCTGATTTCTTGACTGCTGCTCCTACGGGTATTGACTACGGATCCAAGCAAAATAAAATCCTTGACAACTTCATTCTTCTCTCGATTTATCATGATATTGCTTATTGGTTCAGCTGTCAGGATTTTTGTTTTATGTTGAGGTATAATCCATACTGATCATTGTAGTAATTCCGTGTTCCAATTATTAATGCAAGTTTGCAGTTGTTCCTTCCCATTTTGAGTTGTGCCCTATTAGCAAATAAAGTCTCGAAAGCTTTACTCCACCCACATCATTAAGGTCGACTCTACTTTGAGGGGGGGAGCTCTTCCCCAGTTGTATTTTGAGTGCCTTCCAACCTGAGTGGCTCATCTTCTGGCACTCTATCAGACAATGTTTCATTGCTATTCATTAAGTTTTCAGTGGCCACTTTTTTCATAAGTGGACAGCCCTGTTCTTCCCAGTCTATCTTAGTCTGGAAGCTCCACTGAAACCTGTCCACCATGGGTGACCCTGCTGGTATGTGAAATATCGGTGGCACAGCCTCCAGTCTCACAGTAACACCCAAACCACCACAGTATGACAAACTGACAAATGAGTAGTAGAAAGTACAGTAGTCGTATTTATTTCCTATGGCTACTGTAACAAATTACCACAAACTTAGTGGCTAAAAATCACAGAAATTTATTTTCTCACAGTCTGGAGGCCAGAAGTCTAAAATCAAGGTGTTGGCAGTACCATACACACTCCAGAGGCTCTAGGAGAGAATCAGTTCCTTGTCTCTTTCAGTTTCTGGCAGCTGCTAGCATTCTTTGGTTTGTGGCCACATCTCTCCAATCCTGCCTGTGTGGTACACTGTGTTCTCCTCTTGTGTGTATCAAATTTCCCTCTGTCGCTCCCTTATAAAGATACTTCTTCTTGTTGTTGTTGTTATGTGCCGTCGAGTCGGCCCCAACTCATAGCGACCCCTCCTTGGGTTTCCGAGGCAGTATCACTACGGAAGTAGGATTGCCCAACCTTCCTTCCGAGAAGTGGCTGGTGGGTTTGAACCGCCAGCCGTCTGGTTAGCAGGCAAGTGTCTTAGCCACTATGCTACCAGAGCTCCCATAAAGATACTAGTGAATGTACTTAGGGCCTACCCATAGTCCAGGATTATTTTTTCATCTCAAAATCATAAACGTAATCACATCTATTGCTCTGGTTATCTAGCGCCACTCTGACAAGAATATAGCACAAACGGGATGGCCTTAACAGTTTGGAGGCTTTAAATCTGAGTTCAAAGTGTCAGGCTCTAGGGCCTGGGTGAAAGCCCCTCAATCTTGGGCTTCAGCTCTGCCTCCTGCTACTGGCCTACTGAAGCTAGAGGCTTTTCTTCCCTCAGACAGCTGCTAGCTGCTGAGACTGACAAGCCCAAGGTTAACAAGTAAAAAGGCACAGTCCCAATGTCACCAAACTATATGGCAGGCCATTAATTCAAGTCCACTGAAAGTAAGCCAGGCTGCTGAGCAACAACATGGCTACATGCAGGTTTCAAGCATGCCATAAGCTAGAGACCATTCCCAAAGCTATTTCTTATATACGGGAAGCAGACCACATACCCAAAGCAGCTACTCAGCTGCTCCAATAGATTCCACCATGGAGTTAATTACCAATCTCACCATGGGGAATAACTACATTCAACTGCCCAGACACTCAACCAGGCCCAGCCAAGGTGACACACAGACTTAACAACCACAACTATAAAGACCCTTTTTCCAAATAAGGTCATATTCACTGGTTCCAAGGATTTGACATGGATATCTTCCAAAAGGGCCATTTTTCAGCCAACTCTGCCCACCTTAATCAAGTAATCAAACTTTTCATCATGACTAATGGGACAAGCTGACATCATGTACCTCCGGTTGTGATACCCTGTAAAGAAGACATCACTTATGCGATATTCCTGTCAAAATTGCCTAACTTCAATCAAATCACAAGGAAACAATCAGATAAGCCAAAACTGAAAGGCACTCTTCCAAAATGTCAGTGTCATCAAAGACAAAGACAGGCTAAGAAACTACTAAGGTTAAAGGAGGCTAAGCAGACAGGGCAATAAAATACAACATAGATCTTACTTTGGACCATGGAAAAAATATTGTTTTGCTATAAAGTACCACTTTTTGAGACAACAGGCAAAATCTGAATATGGACTATATATTAGATAATAGGCTTATATCACATTAAATTTCTTTAATTTGATCATTGTGTTCTAGTTATATAATTAATGTGAGAGAAAGAGATAAAGCAAATATGCAAAATATTAACAACTGATATATCTAGGTAAGAGGGTGCATGGTTGTTCACTGACCTATTCTTGGTACTCTGCTGTTGGGCTGAACAAAATAAAAAGTTGCAAAACTTTTTTTTCCTCAAATGAAGCAAGCCTGTACTTATAGCAACTAACCAGCCCCTCCTCCAAGCCAAAAATGTCTACTTTGTCTAAAAACATAAACTACAAAAGAATCTAGATACAGTGGAAGTATTCTGGTCCTCTGTCCATTCCCTCACAACGAGCACCTGAGCAGGATATTTTCCAGCTTAGCCACAGTGAAGAAGACAGCACAAACAAGAAACACACACACACATTCCTGTACGAGGACAAGAAGAATCATTTCTTGTCAAAAAGGAAAAAAAGAAAGGTAAAAAAGAGAAGTTAAATGTTCCTCCCCTTAGGTACCCCAAAGAAGGAAAACAAAGGATTCCATTAAACCAGAATGTCTGGAAATGACAGGCTCGTACTGTCTTTCTGAAACCAGTTTTAGGCTTATGAAACAGATAGCACATAAGGAAAACCACATACTAACCACAAAGACTCACTGAGGAATGTTACAAATAAGAGATTATTACTATTATAATTTTAAAAAACTTAAAAAATAAATTGGGCACTATCTTACTTCCGTAGTGATACTGCCTCGGAAACCCAAAGAGGGGTCGCTATGAGTCGGGGCCGACTCGACGGCAAACAACAACAACAACAACATCTTAAAAGAGCAGCACAAATGGAGGGGGTGAATGCAAAAATTCTTCCCATAGTTAGTATAATGCATAGAAACTATAGTTTAGGATTAGCAAATAATGACTAGTGAAAACAGTTTCTCTTCTTTATACATTTTACTGGCAAATTTAATTATGCCCAAATAAGAATTATATAGTGAGGATAAAACCTCCCATAACAGAGAGGGAGAATAATACAGAACAAAACTCAAAATCACAAAAAAAATAAACAAACAGGTTTACTAGTCTGATAAAGCCTGGTGAGACCCCCAAGACTATGGCCCCTAGTTACCCTTCACGTCTGGAACTGAACTTACTCCTGTGGCTTCCAGCCAAACAACAGAGAGGCACACAGGGTGAACATTTACATCAGGTAAATATACTCCTTACAGCGATCAATTGATCAATCATGGGAGAACAGGAGGGCAGTATTTACAGAGATAGCTCGAGGAGCAGGAATGCATAGGAAAGAAGGACACAGGTAAGAGGTAACTATAGGGAGGAAGTGGGAAGAGAGCTGTTACACTGTAGGGAATTGCAGTCAATGTCATGAAACAAAATGTATATGAACTGCCATATGGAAAATGAATTTGCTCTGTAAACTTTCACCCAAATCACATATTAAAAATTGTTGTTGTTGTTGTTTGCCGTCGAGTCGGCCCCCACTCATAGCGACCCCTCCTTGGGTTTCCGAGGCAGTATCACTACGGAAGTAGGATTGCCCAACCTTCCTTCCGAGGAGTGGCTGGTGGGTTTGAACCGCCAGCCTTCTGGTTAGCAGTCAAGTGCCTTAGGCACTATGCTATCAGAGCTCCCATATTAAAAATAGATAAATAAAAAATAAAATAATAATAAAACCTCCCATAAGAATCTAAACAAAAGACATAAAACTGAAACTCCAAGAAAATGTAAATATTAAAAAAACTGCATTCTTAAAAGAAAAAATAACACTCTCATCAAACACTATTGAAAACTTACCTTCTGGGACCGGAAAAACTTCAGCTATTGAGCCTAAAATGTTTAAGGCTGAAAATCTAGTTGGATAGGAAGATCCAGGAAATAATGCTTCAAAAAGACTGTTGCAAACTGATGACATGAAATTCTAAAAAAAAAAAAAATTACAGTAAACACAATACAGTTAACTCACAATAGTTATCTTCAGAGTACCACATTTAAGAGTCTGCTTTTTTCCTTAAATAAGACAGCAAAGATTATTTTTTTAACAACACTCACTCTTTGCTTCGCTTAATAATTCAGCTTAGAACCCTTGACCATGAGCTATACTATGACTTTCGTGAACTCTATCTTTGTAGGATCAACAAATACAATTCCTATTATAGTCCGGACAAGAAGAGATGTATTTTTAGTAAAAACAAGATCAGCCCTAACTCCTGCTGAGGCTCTCTGAATTCCCCTGATTTTCGTCACCAGAATTTAATCTCCATTCAGGCAGCAAAGATATGTGCACTCTTTAAAGATTTTAAATGACTGAAGAAATATTCATTATATACTGCTTGATAAATTTCACTTTAATGCCTCTTCAGAACTCCTGTTCTAATATCTGTTTATACAAATGATTAAAAATGGAAAACTTAATTTGGACAGAAAAAAAAAAAAAAGCATGTACTATAAGCAGCCCAAGTCCCAACCAACTTCAGATGGGATTCTTGCATCCAAATCTCTGGACAAGGATATGCAACCTCAGTGATTTATCCTATAGTCCATTACAAGTCCTAGAAGTTTATGAGTTTATTAATTCTACTGCGTTTCAAAGGAAAGGTGTACTTATTGAAAAATGTTCTAATTAAACTAGCTTTAATTATAAATGAATAAAATAGCATTGATATTAAATCATAAGTCATCAAGTTCATCCTTTAAGAATTATCCTATACCATAATCGCAGGGGACATCAAGCTCAATTGGCATAACATACTATACAAAACATTGTTCCACCTCCTACTTTGGCGAGTAGCGACTGGGATCTTAAAAGCT